TTTTCACCATCTCATGGCTCCTTCCACTTTTCCCTTCATAGTGTTTGCCACGTTTGCTTGGTGAATTTTCTGCGTCATTATTTGCTGGCTGCATCTCTCCCCCATTAGATGGTAATGGGTGCCTCGTTTGCCACTCAATGAATTGCCTGTGTTCACCACGGTTCTTGGCACAGAGTATTGGCTGTACTCAGTACTCAGTAAATATGGGCTCAGTGGATAGTTAGGCTTAAAAATATGGGCACATAAATGGGCTCAACAAATAGGGACTCAGAAAAATGGGTTCAGCAAACATTTGAACAAATGAGCAAACATCTGCCAATATAGTGACTACTTTTCAAGTTCTACCCAACCTTTCTCAAATAACTGCAAATTTTTCTCACTAACACATTGTGCATCCTTCAATGGCAGGGATGCTCCTAAACAATTTAATCTCAGATCAGTTCATAGTCTAGGAGATCACTCCTGTGTTCTTATTTATGCTTGTAGCTTGCTTAGAAGGCCAACATGGTAGACTCATTTTTACCCCTTCCTTATATATAATTCAGAGTCTCTAGTCTCCAGATTAATGGAGTTTTTGGTATATTGGGGCAACCGAAGGAAATGTATCCATTTACACATTTTCTGATAATGATATTTGAGTAATAGGTCTGTTAGCATTTCCATAAAGCCCAGGAGGGGCTTTGGCTTGGGAGGAGGCTTGGCTCTGAAGAGGTTGACAGTTCTTTGAGTTTCATCAGCCTGCTTCACTCCATTTTCTAATTATTTTACAGTTTCTGGTAGCCTTTTCAAGATGGCTAAATTTAAATTTGCTACAACATTTTAAGCAGTCTCTTCCTCTCCGTGTGGCTTGGCAATTATTTCTGAGGGAAATGATTAAAAGTGCAGCCTTTCATCAGGGGGAGACCAGAATGGCATGCGGAGCTCAGATGAGAGGTGCTTTCTTAAGAAGATTCACGTAATGGTGCGAGAGCGGTCAGATTTCTGAAGATTGCGTGAAGATGGCAGGGTCCGTCATTTGTGGAGATGTAGGAAGTGATTCACAGAGGGATGCTGTGCCGTAAACAGGATCACATTCTGTGCTTTAACATTCGGCCAGGGCGCCACTTACTTTTTGAAAAGGGCCATTCATTTAAAAGCAAGTTAGCATCCTTCTTCAATAATCCAAATTAGTTTAACACACTTCAGTGACATTATTTGGGCATTTTTCACAATTATTAAAGATAACTCACTTTTCTCTGTAGACTGTAGGTCAAAAGCAAATTAAATCAATGGATTTTCTCCCTTCGTGCTCTCAGATGAGTCAGAAAGTACTGGTCAAATGCGCACATGGCCTTTCCGTTAAGCTTCAAAACCCAAACAACCTGCTGAGAAGACATTTGGCCAATCTGATTATTTTCTCTATACTAATTGGTTTTCCTTCTTCATTGAATTGAATGAATTGCCTGGTTGTTTTGTCACTGTGGGGACCCAGCTTAATCCACTTAGAGTGAGGTGCTTGTGCTTGGTAAGCTGGGGGGCTATAGAAACGTTTATCATCATTATTATCTTTTGGTGATTTTTCTTGGTGGGGGGAATGAAGATATAGCTTGAATCCATCCATTTTCTCTGTTTTGATGTCCTCCGCCTTTGCTCGCTGTCTCATCTGGCCACTGGATTGCCCTGGTAAGCCCCAGGGTCCGGACCGCAGTCATCTATGTGTTTTGAGAAGATGGGGACCCCCCGCTGGAAACAATGGTTGCCTCACAGTGAATGTGGAAAAAATCTAAGCCCCTTTCCGCAGCTGCCTGCCCCCGACAAGATCTGAGCCCCTGCTGGCTGCCCCACCTTCATTTTGTGTCCTGCCCCCTGGCTCACTGCCCTTCCTCCATGGCCTCCCACTGGCTTCCTCAATGCCCCCAGGCTCCTTACCACCGCAGGGTCTCTGCATCTGTTCCTCCTTCACCTGGAATGGCCTCCCTGGGCTGGTTCTTTCTCACCCTGAAAGTTTCATTTCAGACGTTGCTTCTTCAGAGAGGCCTTGCTCAGCATGGGCAGCAGTCACGCGCCTACCGCTCTGGGTCATGTGCCCCGTGTCGACTGTGACTCTGGAAGAGCCCCTGTTTACAGTGACAGGAACATGCTCCCCTCCCTGCTTATCGTCAGTCCCTGTCTGCAGCCCCCTGCCGCTATTTACATTCTGCGATAGCCCCACCCTCTGCTCATTTCCTTCACAACGCCTGGCACAACTGGAAATGATCTTATCAGTTGACTGGTCTTCGTCTCTCTTCCCTACTGAAGCAGAGGCTCTCGAGGGCCAGGGCACCTCCATCTTGTTCTCCAGTGTTTGGGGGGCCAGCCGCGTGGCACCTGCCTCACTGAACGGGCCCAAGTCATGTTTGTCGAGCAAATGAATGGAATACCAAAAGCCTGGTTCTGTGTCGATACGCAGGTGCTCAAGTGAAAATTGTATTAAAGGAAAAATGGCTACTTCCTTTCCCAAACCGTTGCATTTTCCTATAGATTTTCAGAGTTGATTTGCTCAGGATTAATGCACTTGCTAATCTAGTCACCTACCCCTCGAGATATAGGAAGTAGGTCTGTACTTTCCAGGCAGGAGATTGGAGGACTCCTCACACGGAAACTGTCTAGTCCTTGTGGGAGACCCAGAGAATTATTTCAGGGCTTCCCACTTAAACACGGCAAGCAGATAACCCCGCAGGGTGGCCCCAGTTGACAAAGTGCACATGTAAAGAGCTCCCAGTCCGTTGTGTAGTGCCTGTTTCCTAGATGTGGGTGGATATTTAAGATTGCTGGATACCGCAGGACCGTCTTTAATATGAAAGGGAAAGATGAAAACAAATGAGAACAAAAGGAACTGGGAAGAAAGACCATGTAGGGAGAGGCAAACTTCAGCAAGAACAACAGTGGCCGCAAACCGTTATTAATATGGCCAGAGACACAATGGAAAATACTGGAGCCATGAAGTAACAACAGGGTGCTCTAGAGAGGAAAATAATAATAGGCTCTTAGAAATTAAAAACATGATAGCAGAAATAGGAAATTATGAGTTGGAATAGAAAATCCCAAAAGTAAAATAAAAGGACAAGTAGGAGATAGGAGAGAAAAGATAAAAGGAGTAGACAAGGAAAAGCCCAGGAACTTCCCAAGAGCCGTGCGAGGAAGAGAGGAAGGTGAAACAGGAGAATAAATATCAAAGAAACAGCACCATGTTTTCCCAAAACCGAAGGACATGATTCAGATTGAAAGGGCACATTGAATGCCCAGACAATGAATGAAAATAAACCCAGGACCATGGAGACACTGAACAAAGAAGAGTCTAGGAGTTTCCAGAGAGACAAAACACAGAAAGGTTTTGCCCAAAGGATCATGAATCATAAATCACGTTGGCTCCAGACTTCCTAACAACTAGAACTCAACAGAGTCGTGTCTTTGGTTCTGAAAGCAAACGATTTCTAATTCAGAATGTTATACCCCAACAAGTGGCAGACTGAAGTCTAAACAGTTTTATTTCACACACCCTTTCTCACGAAGCTGCGGGAAGCTTTGCATTAGGAAAGCAAGGAAACAGAAGTGGGGGGCTCCAGGAACCAAAGAGGTGAGGAGAATCGCCACAGTGGGGTGAGGGGGATCCAGGGGCTCAGCCACACAGTAGGCCCAGGGAGCAGCGGGCCACTGGGGGCAGGTCAGAGAATTTGAAGAGCGATCCTTCTAAGGAAAGGAAACAAAACTTCAGACAATTGAGAAGGAGGTGGGAGGCTAGTTTTAGTGCTAGGTCTACGGACAACCAAGCAAAATTTAAAAACGAGGTAGTTGTTAACTCCAGGGAAAACAGTGTTGGCCAGAAAGACCATGTAGTCATGGCACATTACGTGGCTCAGCAGTGAGAGACATGGTCCTAAACATGTAAACACTAAATATTCTCCTAGACAAAATTATGACATCATAGTTACATAACTGTTGCGAGGAGATGGGGTGAAAAGTGTGCATACGTGGTGGGTGGTGGTGGGGGAATGAAGGTTCTGGATCCAGGGGTGCTGGAGAAAGAGGTGAATGCCCCTCTCTCCTCGTGAGAAATCACAGGCTCTTCTCCAAACTGAAAAAAAAAAATCAAGAAGTAGTGCTATAAGCATGTTATTAAAAGTGAAGGAGATAAATATCAAAAGAATCCAAAGCGGGAAAAGGTGAGTGGGTTGGCAGGCATTGCTATTTTTCTTAATAAGTAGAAAGATTCGACTTTTTGAAACTCTGTGCATATGTAACTTTAATCAAAATGAAAGCAAATTTGAAAGGGGATCTAATGCTTTTCTCCGGTGGCACAGCCATGCTAGAATTTTTTTCTGATTTCATTTCATGATGTAATCCATCGTCTCTGCAATTCCGTGGGCCTTCTGACCCGTATCCCAGGCCACTGTGACAAAAGGAGAGCGAGTATGGGTGAGGTGGGAGGGGAAGCCGCTGCTCCCTTGAGAGGGTGCTGCTGTTTGGTGGATGTTGTCAAGGTTCCCTCTTTGGTGCCCCCTCCCCTCCCAGATCACAACCATAACCACCACCAAACAACAGCAACATCAAAACCACCCTGGCTTCCTACTGCCTGGTGCTCCAATGGAGACAAAACCTCATTTCCATAGAGACGGAAATGTCCACCCTTGACCCTGGTTGAATGGCCAGAGAATTCACGCTAACCTGAAATGAACCTAACCTGGCCTAAACATGGCCAGGAAGATGGCTCTGATGAAAAATAGCCACATGACATATTTTTAAAAAAATGTATGTGACTTAGGGATTTTTCTGCCTTGGGAATGGTTTTACCATTTCTTAGCGGAAGTGGAGACGTTTTATTGAGCTGTGTGAAGTGATTCAAGGTAAGCGGGGTTCCCGTGCACATTATGGGAGACGCAGGTTAATGAGCCCTGAGCTGTGGAGGAAGACAAAGTCCTAGGGAACTCCCATTTGCTGATGTTATCACTTCCGGTGTGTGTAAGCGTGCCTCCCCGTTTCAGGTCTGAATCTGCAAGAGGAACCATCTCGTGCCTCTTCAGAATCACCTGTTGGTTGTGGGCACAGAGAGAAGGAGGAGGAGGGCTCCAGACAAACTTCGGGAAGCTTCTCTCCCAGCACAAGTTCAAGGGCCGGGAGTGGAATAGACCACGTAATCATGAAGGTGGGGACCACGGTTCTGAGCTGTCTCTGTCCGTGGGTTGTCTAGATTAATGGCTCTCTTTTGCTTGTTGTTGGTGTCCCAGGTGGCAGAACTCGCCCCACCACCCAGCACACAAAGCCCAGTAGGTACACAAACACCTCCAGACATCGTGTGCTGAAAGAATGGGATGATTACTAAAAATCCTAAATAACGCTTTTAATTTGTACCTGAGTAGGATAGAGATGCTCTCATGCTGCAGACATCACTGTGACATGACTTCACTGCCAGGCAGGAAGGGGGGGGGGGTTGTCGGTTGAAAAGCACAAAAATGCTAATCCAGACCACACTTCAAAAAGTGCTCCTCTGGAAAAACTTAAGTTCAAGGTAACTATAAAGTAGCACATTTGTCTACCTCGTGAGCAGTGGTAATTTAACATTGGATACTCAGAACGGGGTGGATAATTGAGTGATTTGGTTTTTCACAAAGCCAGGTAAAAACACATAGCAATCTCAGCAACCTATTTTGTGGTAACAAGGAGTTTTCCTTGAGTTAATGCACCAATTAGTTATTAATGGGAACTGATTGAGGGCATCCTGTTGAAGTTCATGCTTGGTAAAGAATCATTAAGAACTCAAGACCTAGTTTTACTGAGGACCACATTTCTGACCACAAGTTTTTTTTGTTGTTGTTGTTTTTTTTTTTTTGTACCAGTTAACCTTTCTTCCCCCATTTGTTTTCCTTTGCACTTTTTTGCAGGTAATTTCTCCAGCTGCCGGTGGGCGCAGTGACCGCCACCATCGGAACACTGCTGCTGGGTCAGGACAGTCTGAGCGCCCTGGCTCCTGCGTGGCCGTGGCTACCGACAGGCTTCTGTCTCCAGGCAGAAGTCTCAGCCCGGGATTGCTGGAGACCCGGCCGCTGCCCTCCCAGGAGCAAGTCTCAGTAGATATGAAACCATACATTTCCTCCGATGCTCAGGAGCCTTCTTCCTTTGAGTGCAAAGGAACCTCTCCCTGCCAGGATGTTGCTCCTTCTGTGGCTGCCATTTGTGCTCTGGGGGAGAGAGCAGGTCACACAGCCCTGGGAATTCACGGTGCGGAGCTGCAAGCCCAAAGAGCTGCAGGGGAGGCTCTGACACAAAGCTCCCCCGAGAGAAAAGCTAAAGCGGAGGGCATGTCACCACCAGTCCTGCCAGGGAGACCTTCATCCGAGCAAAGAATTTCAGGTTTGGTTTTGTTGGGGTCAACTGGAAAAACTCATCTTGAAATACCAGCATCAGGAGCAGGCTCCGCTAGTCCATACCAAGAGGAAGGGCAGCACAAGATGTTTTTTCCTACTGGGGGACAGGAGGGGCGTGGAGAGGTGGTAGTCCCTTGCCCTCCTTTAGGAAATGAGGGTGGGAAATGTCGAGGCTCTGGATTAACTGCTCTAAAAGATCGTGTGGTTCCTTCTGACCCAGGGCAGCCCAGAGAATCCCCTGAATCCCCTTCAAAAACTGTCAGAAGGAGGGGTCTGGAAGGGCTGAGAAAGCAGACCCGAGTGGAGGTCAGTGACACCAGCAGTGACGATGAAGACCGGTTAGTGATAGAGGTGTGACGCTTCTGAGCCTGCGGTTGGAGACCAGATGCTGTCAGGCAGGCAGGCAGTTGAACTCTTTCACCAAGCACCTACCTATGAGGAAAACCGTCTGGGGATCTTTCCAAGGCATCCCCAGCAGACTCTAGCCCCTATTCCCCAGATCCCCTTGTGGTATACCAGGTGCCAGGCGGGCAAAGGCAGCAACGGAGCCCAGTCTGAGAATGCTTGGCGCACAATGACTGCACTCACCTCCCAACCATGTCTTCTACATCGGCCCCCACTGCCTCCTCCGCACGATGGCATTAACCAGGATAGCCACAGTCGATGTATTTATGTGCAAGTGAACGGGTAGAGTCAAGTCGACCGACTTCCTCCGTTAGTAAGCTGAGGGTTGGCTTCAAAGGTGGTAAGCACACTTGGGTAACTGGGGTAGCTTGCAGAGGAGATGGGGCATCACGATACATTTGTTCATTCTGGAAACCAAATCCAGATTCATTAAAAACTGCAGTTTGGCTAGAATAACTTGCGTCCTTAGTGGAAGTTGTAAATATACTTCAAAATGCCTATGATCTAGTAAAATGCTGATTATCTTTAAATGTTACACCAGTGGTCAGTGCTTACGTATGATCCAATGACACAAGCATGTACTGCTCTTGGGCCCCGTGCCTTTTCTCTTGAGACCTCTGAAACCCTTGGTTTTTTTAGCTCTTGCAAAGGAACGCAGTGTTAAAAGTTAATAGAACAGTCTCTGTAATGAGTCATTTTTTGAGGGGGAAAAATTCACTTATTTTTCTCTGATTCTTTCTGTCATATTGTGCTCTGAGCAATTTCAATTAGAGGGTTACATTTTAGTAATCTCTACAGCTTAAATTGATGCCTGCTCATCGTGACGGGAGCCTTTTAGATTTCCTCCAGAAGCTTCAAGGATACAAAACTAATTGGAGTTTTGACGCTGTTTTACATCTCAGTAATTTTATTTTGGGGGCTTGGTGTTACTTTGCTGTCAAATTAAATCAGCCTCTGTATTGTGCAAGTCAGAACAGTACAGATAAAATTCCCCCGTATTCCAAGCCAGCGCACCCCTGTGCAGGAGAAAATAGCTGATCGACGTCAGCCAGCTCAGTGAGCGAAGCCTCAGATTTACTGCGTTCTTCTCCTTCTCCTTAAATGGGAGAGGAAGAACTTACAGAGATTTACACTGCTGCATTTCAATAAAATTTTATACTTGCTTTTGGTAGATTTTGTACAATTTGAAATTTATAGCTGAGCTCTTTTGGCTTAGCTTTTGACGTGATGATGTTCATATGACATCTTGTACCTTCAGAAGCAGGAGCAATGCACAGCATCTCACACACGTGAACACACTTAACATGTCCTTGCCTGGGACTAAGGATGGGCAAGTTTCAAGTATCGTCATGTGAGTTTTCCAATTTTGGAGTTATTCACAGGGAACTTCAATGCAAGACCAGCTTCCCCTGGTGACTTAGCATATATGGGATGCGCTCATAAATATTCAAGTGATTTCAAGCCTAGCCAAATAAAACATAAGGAGGGAGGTAAAAGGATGATAGGTATTCACTTTGTGTACTTTTTTTTTCGTTGTGTACTTTTTAAACCAAACAAAAGTGGTGTGGTGATTATCTACCTTTGAATGACCCATGCCCCTGTAATGAGAGAGGAAGTCTAGGAAAGTGGCTGAGTCTTGGAGGAAGAGTGAAGTCCTGACTATGTCCTTACTGAGCTGGGAAATCTTGGTAAGACACACATGCCCTCTACACCTCAGTTTCTCCAGCTGAGAATCAGAGTTGGACTAGATGAGCTGGATGCATCTCCAGGCTCTAATCCTTGTCAGATGAGCTGTCCTTTACCTGAGGAGGTTTGGGGGCTCTGAGGTGACCCCCATGGGGAGGGGCCCCCCACACAAGACATTTCGGGGGGACCGTGGAGAACTGAAGCGTGAACATCTTCAGCCAAGTATTGCCATGAAGGATGTGAGCTCAGAGAAGCTCTGTATGATTTTTTTTCTTCAGAGTTCCAGATTTTGGGGGTACAGTCATCCAGTTTATACATTTGGCTCATAATTCAAAAATTGAAAGCAAAACCAGAACACTACCGTGTGAGGTGAAGACAACATGTCTGTGGGCTGAATTGACTACTTGGTCTGGGGACGCACTGGTTAGGGGAAGAAAACTTTCTTCCAGATACTTCTTTCCTGGTGGCTACTAAGCTGTCAGTAGGATCGCTGATCTGAATCAGTAAGTCACAGCTCCAAATAGCACTGACCTCCAGATGGTGGTGGAAGTTCTGTCCTTCTAAGAGCCACCATTGCTGGCTGCCACATCCCAACCTGGATCCCATATGGTGGAATATTGATTCCATCTCTTTGACTCCCTGTGTCTCTTACCAAGGCAAGCAGGTTGCCAAGCCATCCTGTCAGCTGGTCATTTAGCAATGGGTAGCAATGTTTACAAGGGTACCTTACTTTATATCAGCATGAATTTGTGAAAAGCTATATTCTGGTGGATTTTTAAAAAAACAAAGTATTTTGAGTGACTCTAGGGGAGTTGGCTATTGGAAATCATCCTAAGGTATAATTTTTTTTTTTTTATGAAGAATCCTTTTATAAAGCAACAAATACTCCCTGATTTTATAAATCTTAATTTTCCTGTGGGGCTTCTTAAAGAGAAATGCAGTCCCAGGGCTATGTTTATCAGCAATCTATAACCCAGTTTGGGTTATTGAAAATAAAATTTCAATATTATCAATTGATAATTGCTGCAGCTTTTACTCTTCAGGTGTGCACTGTGTAGTGGTTAAGGGAAAACAAATTTATTTCAGAACAAGACAAACTGGAGTTTACCAATCAGGGATTCCTCCCTCTCCTTGGGGCTGTTAATTTTATTGTACCTTCGGGTAAGGGTCTTAACCAATTGGTGCTCAGCTTCTTCCACTCCAGGGATGCTGGCATAGACTAAAGTCAAGTGCACTTTGAATTCTTTGCTTTTCTCTCAGGGCAAGGTATACAAGTGCCATGACCAGTAATGCTCAAGGCTTACCACCTGGTTTATCTCTCCAGTTGTACCTACACCTGGCCAGACATCCCTTGTTAAAGATGCGTGGAGGAGAGAGGTTTCACCTCCCCGCTTGGCAACCTATACTGTTAAGTGACTTTTGAAGTCACATGGTGTTTAACAGACAACCTGGATCCTCTTTGTTGTAAGGCATGATGGAGGACAACTCATCCCTTCTGTTATGTATAACCTTGGAGATTCTGGATGAACTGAATATCCCTTTGATTCACAACCCAAGAGAACCTATGGTTCATTTGCTGAGAGATTAAAGAGATGGGTGAGGGGTGCCTCTGGATTCTAATCAAACCCTGCCAATAGCATGATGGGTAACTGAGGGCAAGTTACACTTTCTCTTCCTAAAATCCCTCTTCTACGGCTCAGATGGAAAGAGTAGCCTTGCAAGAATGCATTGTGACCACAGTTCTTGTCATGAAAGATGAACGAGTTGCAGCCTTATGCCAAAAAGTATTTCCTTGCATTTACATTCATTACTTAGAATGATCACATTATTCATTTTTTCCCCAGCATAGAAATTTGCATTTTGCACAAAATTTGCCTGGTGCAGCAGATTTTTATAGTTAGGGAAACTGTCATCATTATTGGAACGTGCTGCTGCTCAGCTCCCCAGACATAATTTAATATGGTGAGGAGAAAATGGTCTGCCTGGCTCCATGGTGATCAGATTTCTACAACGGCAGCAAAGAGAACCTGTGTATTTTTCCTCACTTCAGTTGTGATTCCCAGAGTTCTCTCTGGCTTTTGAAACACTACATTTCTTGATATTTAAGCACAATTTCATGTCTTTATCTTTCAGAACTCATTAAATATAGGTGTCAGGACCCAGAGAATCTTGTGTGCTAGATTTGCACCTGTACAGTTCTCTTCACCCATGCTTTTGTACTATGTGGGCACATAATTCGATGTGGAGAAGTCTAGGAACATTTGAGCGTATTGCTTCACCATTGGAAGAAAAGGAGCCAGGAAAATAATCCATCTCTGTCCCTTGGAGCCCTAGAGGATGACTCAACATCTCCTATATGCAGCCCACCGTTCAGAACTTACTACTGTCTTGATTGTTCATGATCAGGAAAGCTATTGGCCTCTTGGTTGTTTGTTGAAATTTATCTCCTTCTTTATATGGTTAAATTATTTTGTTTTGATAAAAATAAAACTGAAAAGAAAAATGTCTTGTGTGATTTGTTAACATTTTAACTAAAACTATCGCAGGCAGTATCCTGTATGAATACAATACCTGATCATTCCCAAGTAGTGAACCAGACATCCTGTCCACCATATTGGTATCCCATTCCACTCAACAAAAAGATTGGGTAATGGCAAATTAGCACATTTTCTTGTGCTGTTTCCGTTTCCCATGTGTCTCATTTGTCATTGTCTGCCATATTTTAGACTTCTTAACTTAAAAATGTGTTTTTAAATTCTTAAATGTAGCTAAGTTTTGAAGCCACATGAGGGCACTATCCACAGTGCAATAATCTAAAACTTTTCCCCTTAGAATTGATGTCTCTTGGATATTTAATATTATTCATCAACAGAAAAAACATTCTTAATTCAAAACAGTGCCTCCTTATGAAGATAGTTCGTGTATTCTTCGCAAGAATAAGTAGAGTTCTTTTACGTACCAATACAATACTAAGTCTTCTACAGCTACACCTCTTGAAGGCACTTGAAGTCAATGGAGACACAATGCATCGGGAGAAAAAGTTCGAGTGGAAATACATAAGGCACAGATGTACTTACTGATGGGTCTGAGATGTGTTTTTGCTAACTCGTCAAACTCTAATAGTAATAAATTAACCCATTATTTCCAAACTTCAGTCATTTGAAAATCATCCTAATGCTTTTTGCCATATATGTCCACATATGGGTGTATTATTTACTTAATACTTCTGTTTAACTCATCCTGTTTTCCACATGCTTTTATTTAAGAAAATTTTTATTATTGAAATATAGTTGACATGCAATGTTTTATTAGTTTTAGGTATACAACATAGTGATTAAACAGTTTTAAACAATTCTCAATTTTAAGTGTAGTCACCATCTGTCACCATACAACATTATAATAATATTATTGACTGTATTCCCTATGGTGTACTTTTTGTCTCTGTGACTTACTCTTTTATAACTGGAAGTTTATACCTCCCAACCCCCTTATTTCTCCCTCCCCCTACCCACTACCCCTCTGGCAACCACCAGTTTGTTCTCTGCATTTTAGAGTATCTGTTTTTGCTTTTTAGATTCTGTATGTAAGTGAAATCATATGGTGTTTGTCTTTCTGTGTCTGACTTATTTCACTTAGCATTATAGCCTTTAGGTCCATCCATGTTGTCACAGATGGCAAGATTTCATTCTTTTTTATGGCTGAGTGATATTCCATTGTGTGTATTTACTACATCTTTATCATCCCTGTCTTAAAGAAGTATTACCCTAAATAATGATATCTGTGAAATCTCAACCTGAATGTGATAGTTTTATTTTCTGATCTGCAGTAAACTAAACTGTTAAAAAAAAAAGTATTCATCCATGTACCAGTTAAATATCATCTTTACACTACCAGTGGTATATCCCTCACACTTGCAGAAGCATTGCATGAATCTGAAAGGTACATGCATTGTTAGTTTCTTTAATTATTCTAGTTTCTGGTAAGCACAGCTCTCT